AGTTGAATGTAGCTATAACTGACACTACAGGGCTGCTAAGTGAGAGTTTTGAGAATGAGAAAGAGGTGAAAGTTTTACCCTGGGGAGATGCTTACGATCAGAAGAGAGAACAGCAGACAGAAGGGGAAAGCTAGGCCACATAAGTAAAAGTAAAAAAAAAAAAAAAAAAAAAAAAAACAATGGTAGGAGGAAAGAGAACCAAAAAATACAATGTTAGAGAAGAGATTTTCAATATAGGAACTATAAACAAACTAGAATGCTAAAATAGGTTCAAAGTAAATACATGAATAACAATTTAGAAAAGATCATGGGAACAGTGATCTTAGAGAAATTTCAATAAAAAGATAATTTACACTACATTTTACTGCACAAACCTTAATGTGTACTGCATTAAAGCCAGTTGAATATGAACAATATGAAGAAAGTATTATGTCTTCTCATATTTTTATCCCTCAGGGTTTTTTGGACAAAAAGAAGGTACTTGACAACTTCACTGAACAAACCACGCTTAGACTAACTTGAATTTAATTGACTTCTATTGCACTGTTTGATATTACTCTGCCCGAATGAGTGATAATAAAAAGTGAGAAAGGAAAACAGCAAACATAAAAGATTCTTTTTAAAAATTGGACATAATGTAATAAGACAAAGGAGATAAGAAAAGGAGAGTTCACAATAGTTTTATTTCTTTACAACTATCCGAGATTTGTACCTGTTTCTAGATACAGTTAAAGACTGTGTCAGAGGGAGAATTTGAAGTCAAGAGAGGGGAATATTGAGGGTATGAAGACCCTAGAGAGAGCAATCGAGACAGTGGTGAGTCACATGCAAAATTTTATCAAGTTGTACACTTGAATTTGTAAGTTATACCTCAATAAAATAAATTTTTAAAAATTAAAAATACCTCAAAAAAGATTGAAATTGAGGGTACAAGTTAAATTTTTTTCTAAAGATTTATTTATGCACATGGAACTGGGGTATAGGCCAGAGGTGCAGGGGTGGTGAGAGGATTCACTAGAGACAGAGTGGGGAAAGAACAGGCCTACTGACAAAGTACACTGCTGAGAGGAGCAGCAGGGGGGTCATGAGAGGTCTGCTGGGCCATGTGGGTCACCTCCGGGGTGGGGATCGAACTCATGCTGAAGTGGCTTTAGCTTTTTAGTGCTGTGCTTTAACTGCTGTGCCACCAGGGAGGGCCCACAAGTTAAATTTTATTGGAAATAAGCAGGAAGCTATTGTTCACCAATCCCAGAATTATACTGCTTTGATTTATAGAAAATTATTTAAAAAACAATAAATGTACTATGTCGTGAGTAGTCTTATATTCTACAACTGGAAATTTGTTGTAGACCATGGCTTATACTTTTTATTCCCCACACTGTCATCCCCCTATCTGCATGGACTTGCTGACTACCACCACATAAGTAGCAAATGTAGATTTCAACCACTCATCCAACAATCTCTCCCAAGTCAAGAAATTATTTAGTAGTCTTGTGTTTATAGCTATGTCTTAAATGCTGTTAAACACTTTAGAGAATAAATATGCATAGGTCAAAGTGAGAGATAAGGCAGTGATTACTAAGTCACATATACTGTGAAAAATTTCTAATGGTCAAACAAGTTTAAGAAACCCTATATATCATAATCTTCTTGAAGGTTTTACATTGCATATTAGCAATGTTAAAAGCTATAAGAAGGCCCTCCCTGGTGGAGCAGCGGGTTAAAGCACAGCACTAAGAAGCTTAAGCCACTTCAGCATGAATTCAATTCCAGCCTGCCCTGGAGGAGATCCACATGGTGTCCACATGGATCCTGACACCGCCCGCTGCTCCCCTCAGCAGTGTACTTTGTTGATCTGCCTGTTCGGTCCCCGCTCTGTCTCTGGTGAATCCTCTCACACTCTGCACCTCTGGCCTGTATTCCAGTTCTGTATGAAAAAAAAAAACCTATAAGGAGGTATGTAGTTCACTTAAGTCCCATCAGCTGACAAAAAGAAAAGATGGTGTATATACACAATGGCTATATTAAGTGTTTTTAAGAAAAAAGATAAAATTCTGCTATTTGCAACATCATGGATTGGACCACGATGGTAGTATGCCTAGTGAAATAAACAAGGTGGAGCAAGACAAACATAGTGTGATTTTACTCATATGTGGAATATAGAAAAAAGAAACAGGTAAATGAAATAAAATAGAAATAAAACTTAAAAAGTCTTCTTAAACTTTTGCTCAGACTAGCTTTGCTCAGTCTAGCATTTTCCAAATTTATTTGCCAATGAGAGTTTTATTTTCTTACACAACACTTAGTTAAATACTTTATAACTGATTTTCAACAGAATGGATTTTGAGGGCCTCCCTGGTGGCACAGGGATTAAAGACAGTGTTATCAAGTTATATACAACCACTGCAGCAGCTCCCCAGCCAGCCAGGGAACTATCCACTGGTGCAACAGACCTCTCTTATCTTACCCTGGCTCCCCTCAGCAGTGTAGATCTGACTGTTCTGTTCCCTATTCTCTCTGGTGAGTCTTCTCTGCACCTCTGCCTTCCACCCCAGCTCTTGTATGCATAAATGACTGGGTGATGGATTTCCAAGATCTTTCTCTAACCCATGAGGATAATGCCATCCAGGAACAATTATAAGTAAATTATATTTCCCCTCAGTAACATTTCCCCAAAAATATCTCTTGGTGGTATTTAACATACTGAACTGAATAGACCATTAGTTTAATTCATGAAAATAATTATTGTATTCTTAGGGGAAAAAACTACAAAAAGAAATGAGAAGAGAAACACAGATGGTTAAAGAATTGAAAAGAAAGACTATTAAAACATATGAAAGAAATTGGGATGTTTCAATCTGGAGAAGAGATACAAAATCATTCAAATATCTCTGTTAAGATCTCTAAAATTATAAATTTTCTGATGAGTTGCATCTTTACTGCCCCTGAAGTCAGAATTAGAGTTGGTCCTAAAGTGTAGAATGAAAGACAAAAATTAGGTTTAATTAAAAAAAAAAAAAAACACCCTACTGCCTGCAAAAATGTTAGGAAAACTGATAATGAAACCCTTCGTATTGTCAAGTCTTGAAATTTGTCATGGAATGAAAATAATGAACAACTATAAACCAGAGACATTTTATGGGGGTGGAAAGGAGAAAGGGATCAAAACTGGACTGGGAAGAGCGCCCCAGGAACCATGGTGATGGCACACCGGTGAATTGGTGGTGGGAAGTCCACAAGGACTACCACTGAGATGAAAAAAATGCTCAAAATGAAGAATGATGTAAAAAACAAATAAGTAAAAATAAATTTTAAAAAACTGTCATTGATGACACAAGAAGAAAGAGCTAGAAGTGATACTCTGCACAATGAATCTATGAAGATTTGGGGGATGTGACTCCCCTTTTCCTTACTTGAACTTTCCCAACCATGAGTCAGCTATGGCTGCTCCCAGGATAGGAGTGAAATAACAGAGGCTGCTGAAGGCATGGTACACAGATGTGGAGGTGTCTTCATTCCAGTGCAGGAAATACAGGAAGTAGAGAGTCAGCACAGCTGAGGTGAAAAAAGGGGAGACAAGACAAGATAGGTGCATTAAAATGACTTATGGAATAGAAACACATTTAATCTCTGGTCTATGAAGTGATCTTCACCTTCAACATTATTAACTAACGGATGGTGTTGGGCAGCAGAAACAGGACCCAATAGAAATAGGAAATGCTTAGTGTCTAAATAAAATACTCCTCCCTTTTATCTGTGTGTACTCATGATATCATTTAGGCCAATCACAAAAAAACACATGGCCCTTCCACTATCTCCTCCTCCTTCTCAGTAACAATATAGTTCATAGGCCTGAGGAGCAGGTATGAAGAATGGCATCAGATGAGAGCATTCCCACTTATATTACCATAGGCTCTGTTCTGTACCTATTAGGTCTCTCTGTTCTTGAGCTGCATGAGTTACTAGGTGAAATTCTATAAGGCTTTTACTGGAAACTTGACCAAAGGAAAGAATAAACTTGGACAAGAAAAAAAGAAGTATATTAGAGAAATAAGTACATGACAGAAGGTTAGGTCTTTACAAACACAGGCTACATGTGAATAAAGAAGAGTAAGACACTGAGATATGAAATTACCTTTCATGCCATAATAGGAAAAACGCTCACAGAATTCATTCACCACAATGAAGGCAATGCTCAGTGGATAATTGGAGCCACAAATTTTCTATAAAACAAAAGGCAAAATGTTTCAGCTTATGTGGTTTTTTCTTCTTTAAACTAGTAGGTTGTTCCACAACAACAACAAAAAAACATTTATTGAAAATCTGTGTTAGGTAATATGAGTTGTTTGAGGAGAGATATAACTGAGTATCTACACAGAGAAAATAATAATTTCATGTATTCATTCTGTTTCCATGTGGACAGATATAAACAACCCTCCCAAATATGAATATGTTACTATATATGCTAACTTGCTTGAAAGACAATGAAATAGCTTCTTATCTTCCCAGCTTACAGAATTATACAACATGAAGTTTAGTTAACACATTTTCATATGCTCTATATAGTAGTATACGCACTGTGAATACATTTTAACATCTCAGTCTGCTCATATGACTATACCTGTCCTTATGTTTTCTATTACTTTTTGGTAAAAACTCAGTAAGTTATGACCATTATTACCTTAGCCTCTTTACTTCTGGGACTTTGATATAAGGATTGATTGTGAAAATAAATTTGGAAGTGCTTTAACAGGTAGGTATTTTATATAAACCATTATTTACTACTTCATCCTCTGTCCTGCCTCCCTCTATAAACTAGAACACATAATAGGAAACCGGATCTATTTTAAAACTTCTCTTGGTGTGTGGATAAGATTCTGCACATGGAAAACTGAGTTTTTATACTGGCAAAGAAAGAACAATCACACACAGTTCTCTAAGGAGTATTTGCCAAGTTTCCCTGGACATCGCTTTTTTTCACCCCAGAGAAACTCAGAGTACACAATGAAATAGAGCAAAGTCCTGGATTCCCACTGAAGAACTCTAGTTCTCCCTGCTAATTACTCTCCTAAAAGAAAGTAAAAGGGAATCTATTTAGATTTTGTTTTCAGGTTAATTTTGACTCCAAGTGAGAATAGCTTTTAGACTCTAATACAGTTCAGATTGAAGCTCCAGAGGCAGAGTAGGTAACCAAAAGAGCAAATCTATTCCTGTGAGAGGCAGAACTGAGCCTGGGAACTCACCGGAGGTGGCTTTGGAAGGCTGGGTGGTTGGGGAGGCATCTCATCGGTGGAGACAGGTGAAAAAAGTGTTTCCTTGGACTCATTTTTCTGGAACGGGTTCATGGCTGGCTCTTTACTCTCTCTTTCCTCAAGCATTTGGCTTCAGCAGATAGTTGGGACAGCTGCCAGCTTAAAGTGAAAGGGGGTACTGGGAGGAGAAGAGGGGGTGGCTTCAGCCACTAGTTTTAACCCTATTGGTGTCAGCTTCAGCAGCTGCCTGTTCCAGAGCAAAAGCAGAAAATTACTGGCAAAGAAAGGGTTGGGTTTCACAATGAATTTAAAGGAATTATTATGTATGAGGTAGACCATGGGGAAAGGAGAACAACGTATCACAGATGAGACAAGATAATGCCTGAGAATAGCAAATAAATACAAAAGAGTTAAGAAGATAATTTCTGATTGCCTCAAGTAGCAATCAGAAGTTGATTTCAGATTGGTGGTTGCCAGAAGCAAGGATAGAGGAGGGAAGGGATGAATGGAATGGGTGAAGAAGGTCGAAAGACACAAACTTCCAGTTATAAAATAAATGCACGGGGCTATAATGTGCAGTATGATGATTACAGTCAGTAATACTGCATTTCACTTTTGAAAGTTTCTAAAAGAGGGAATAGTAAATGCTCTCATCACAAATGAAAAATATTGCAACTATCTCGGTGACAAATGTCAGCTAGACTTTCTCTGGTGGTCATTTCATAATATATACAAATATTAAATTATTTTTGTGTTGAACACCTGAAAATTTATGTCAATAAAATTTTATTTCAGGATAATAATAGCTTTTATTTGTTTAAGGCATATTCTAGAACAATTTAATATATATCAACTACACCTAAATTTAAATCTGCATATTCAATTCTTACCTCTTGCACCCTCTTATAAGAACTAATACTCAAAGAGATTAAGTAAGTCATTCGAAGTAAAGCGGTCAGTAAGTGGCCAAGCTAGTTTTCACTATTCCTTGACAGTTGGGAGAGATTAGTGTCAGTAATGCCTTTGGTCATTTTCAGGTATAGAGATATGGAAATGTAAATATAGGAATGTAGGGGAACTGAAATGCATTGTCAAAGGAAAGTTATCACAAAGTTGAAGAATTTAAAAGAGATAGAAAAGTTGTTTATTTGGGATTTCAATGTGATAAAATTCATCTACATGCAATTAAAAAGTTGAGGCTAAAGAAAATGAAAGAAATGGGGTGGGTCATTCTTGTGTTTCACTAAATTCATTCCCTGTGTTTACTTTTTTCAGTCCATCATTTTGTAAATAAACAAAATTAGCATCAATTATAAAATTTCTAGGTGTACGACAAACATCATTTTCCTTGATTTTCAGTGGATGCACTCCAAATGACCTTAGAATATTATATTTAGTCCTATTATAGGAAAAACAAAAAAGGGCATGATGATGATAAAGACATTTTATATAGCATCACTTTGTTTTCAGTGAGGTAAAAGAAGAATAAAGGAGTATGGTGCCTTTCCATCAAAAAACAGAAAAAGAATGGCTGCAGAGATAAATGGAAACAAGAAATGGCCATCAAGGAGTCAGGAAATGGGTGCATATCTTATTTGAGACACTTATTACTCTATCCTTCAGAAAATTGTTACATTAACTATTTGAGTAATTAATTAACAAATAGGGTCATAAAAACTTTACTCTTTCATTCCTCCCTAAACTCTACCTTAGACTTTGACCACATGGTTTCAGCTTCTTTACACTCATTATTATCCAACTCTCCCACCAACCTTTACCCAAAGAAGAGCCCAGACTCATTTCTGAAGTGATATTAATGATTAGGCTGTAGTTATTCTTTCAGAAAGTCTTAACCTTTCTGCCATAGTTTGGTTAATGACTCTGGAGGCAAAATAAATGAACAGTTGTTAAGTTACTAGCCCAGTTTACTAATAGTGGCATAAATGCCACTACTGTGGGTTTCCCTACCCGGCCTTATACCACTAGACTAGCATTTAATCTGACAGAGCAGAGAGAATAGAACCTGCATGCAATGTACCAACTCATTTGCATTCATAGGAGTATCACTGATTGATACCCCTTTGTTTCTATGAAATTCTTCTTTTGATTATAGCAATATAATGCTAGCATGCATGGAATCAAATTATATCAGACTGAAAGAATCTTAATGATCTTATCCTATGTGAACTAACTTCCCAGATAAGAAGCATTTAAGGTAATACACATATATGTTATTAATGTATATGGACTTATATATATTTAGGGTAATATATATACATACACATAAATATATACATTTACAGATATTTCTCTTGAAAATCTCTTTATCATATTCAACAAATCTAAGCAGAAAATCTAAGAATTTGTGCTTTTAACAAACGCCAGGATGATTTTTATGACCAATTTGGGGAACACTTGTTTGCAATTCATCAACTAGTCTAGCATGAAGAATGTCCCAGAAAAATTCAAAAGGACAAAGAAATAAAACCTAGTCTTCCAAAAATCTATTCTAGGATCCTTTCTATCATTTTAGGATGCCTCTTGTACACTATTATTTTTGCTAACTTGAAATTAGATAGGAAGACATAAGGGAAAAGATTAAACGAGAAAGAAAATGAGTAAAGAAAAGCAACTGCTGGATAGAAATGAGCTCAGATTTTTCAGAGATAAAAAAGAGAATAAAAATGGAAGCATCTAAAATATCAGTGAGAGAGTAAAAGAGAGTTGTGGACCAGTGAATATGATAGCAGAGTGATATTTTACAGTCTTACATGGATAGAAGACTGAAACTCTAAATTGATACATACTGCAAGGTCATAGAAAAGATATTAATGTGAACTTAAAGAGGATATTTGTTTAGCAAGGCACTGGGATATAAAATCAGCACACAAAAATGGGTTATTTTTAAATATCAGCAACAAATAAAAATTAAAATTAACAAAGGATAATAACTATAATGCTTTAAAAATATAAAAGGTGTTCCAGACCTTAATGCTAAACAGTATAAAACATTGTTATTGAAAGAAATAGAGGACAATTTAAATAAATGGAGAGACATACTCTAGTCAAGATTTAAAAGGTTTTCGTAAATATGTCAATATTCTCCATATTAGCCTATAGTTTCAACGCAGAATTCCAGTAGGTGTGTGTATATGTCTGTGCAACTAATGACAAGGTAATTATTTTTTTAGTATTATTGAAGTAATGTGTGCATATACCACAGTATTTGATTCAGAGGTGATAGCTAATTTTTAGAATTCATAAGAAGCAACAAAAAGCAAATTATAGTATGGTAATCCTGAAAAACAAAAAGTTTTGTACTACCCAATACAAGATCTATTATGAAGCTATATGGTAATAGAATGGAATCAACATGAAGCAGATAAGGCAATCTATGAAACAGAGGATTTTAGACCCATACATATAATAAAATCCACAAATATACTAAGGCATCATTTACGACATAGATGACACTGCAGTTATGTAGGGGTGCTTTCAACAAATAAATACCATCTAGAAATTCATATTAAAAAAATTTCATCCTTTATCTTACACCATACATTAAAATCAAGTCTATATAGATTGAAGATCTATCTGTTTAGTTAAAAAAATAAATCTTGGCCCTCCCTGGTGGCGCAGTGGGTTAAAGCACTGCACTGAGAAGCTAAAGCCACTTCCGCATGAGTTCAATCCCCGCCTGCCCCCAGGGGTGACCACATGGCGTGGCAGACCTCTCCTGACCCGCCCGCTGCTCCCCTCAGCAGTGTACTTCATCGATCTGCCTGTTCTGCTGCCCACTCTGTCTCTGGTGAAGCCTCTCACCGCCCCTGAGCCTCTGGCCTGTACCCCAGTTCTGTATGTACAAATAAATAAATCTTTAAAAAAAAAAAAAAATCTTGTGGCCCTCCCTGGTGGCGCAGCGGGTTAAAGTACAGCACTAAGAAGCTGAAACCACTTCCGCATGAGATTGATTCCCGCCTGCCCCAGAGGTGACCACATGGCGTGGAAGACCTCTCCTGACACGCCCGCTGCTCCCCTCAGCAGTGTACTTCATCGATCTGCCTGTTCTGCTCCCCACTCTGTCTCTGGTGAAGTCTTTCACCACCACTGAGTCTCTGCCTGTACCCCAGTTCTGTATGCACCAATAAATAAATCTTTAATAAATAAATAAATAAATAAAGCTTGTGATTGAAAACATAAAAGGACATTTTATGACGGTGAAGGAAGACTAAATTTCTTAAATAAGACATAAGATATGGTAAATATAAGAAAAACATGTGATATGCAGACAATTTAAATTTAAGATCTTTTGTTCACCAAAAAACAACATTAAGTGTGAAAATAACTTGCAGGGTGAGAATACTACTAAAATAGCAAACTTGGGCAAGTACTTCATGGCAATGTTGCTCGGCATGACTGTTACCTATTCCTACAAATTGAGTTAGTATACTTCATAGAGGCAGGTAAGGTGGCAGATCTCAAAATATTAGAAAGCTATGAACCTTTTGAGAATAACATTTTATAATTTTTTCCATACTTGGGTTCTTAATTTTGATTACTCTCTTAGTAAGCTGAAAATTAGGTAAGTAATTGCTACAAGAATGGTATGTGGTTGATATAATTCTTGAAATTTGACATGTTTAAAAATACTTAATTAGCAAACTATGGGTGACACTTAGCAGATACTTAATTCAGAGGTCACACTCATATCCATGTGCAGATATAGCTTTACTAGCCATTAATTTTAGTCCTTTATAGCAACTGAACTTTTCTATTTGCAGGCTTATAATATAATAGGTTATATTATATAATCAGTTCCAGCAAACCACTCACAACAGGTCAAACTAGAAGGACATTTGCTTATGATAACTAAGTTTACTGTAGCAATCATTTCAAATATTTGCTCACCATATAAGTGACAAGTAATATACACATAAATATGCACATGTATCATCACCTTAACTTATATAATGTTATAACATTGTCAATTATGTCTCAACAAAGCTGACAGTTAAATATATGTACTTATAATCGTGTCATGAGCAGCACAAGGTTCTGGTAGAAAAACTCCTGTGTGAGAACTTGTCTAATCTGCAAGCTCCCTACTAAAAATGCATGCAAT